AGAGAGAGAGAGAGAGAAGAGAGAAGAGAGAGGAAAAAACAAGATCAAAGGCGGGAATAGAGAGGTCAGCTGCAGAAGTTGTCATAAAGAAGCGCGGCGTCATGGAAGTGCAGAGTATGGTACTCGCATAGTAGGAGATCATCCATCGGGCGGGAGAAGAAGGATCAGAGATACGAGGTAGCAGAGCAGAGAGCAGGCAGATTCGATGAATGGAGAACACGAGTAAAGAGGGGAAGGAATAGTCCAGAAGAGACGCCATGGGGTGGCCAGAGGATTGATCGAGTTGGCAGGTAGAGGATACGGGATGCCCATGAATCAAAGAAACTTGGAGCTACGTACGTGCAGGCAGTCGAGTCTGGTCGAAGACGACAGGTGCTGGGTCTTCTTCGGTAGTCGAGGCGCTGGGTCGTCGTGGTGCCAGTACGATATGCCGCGAAATCATTTCGTCGGGTAGCTTCCGGTCTTAAGTCATGATATTCGGGAGTCTTGTCCGTCGTTATGTCTGAAAGGATTTTTCCCGACTGTCATTTCGACCCCCTATCAGACCCTCTGATACTATTCTAACCCAGCCCTTCCAGCAGTCCCTGTTACTTGCAGAAAACTCCTCCGCCGTCTTAAAAAATACCTTCCCAGGGAACCCTTTCGCCCTAAGTTCCCTCCTCAAAGAAAGTTGTTCATTGTATTTTTCTGCATGACATAGTTTTTTTCTCGGTGTTTTTTTTTTTTTTTTTTGGCTGGGACCTTCCCTGGTCCTTGCACGGCCGGGCCGCCCGGGAAAATAGGGTTACCCGGGCGGCCCGGCTGGTAGCCTAGAAAAAAATTAAAAAATTTATGGGGGTTACCCTTCGATGACCCCCACCCTCCTATCAAAAAAAAAACCCCCCCCCCCCAGCCAAAAAAAAAAAAAAAACCATCCCGCTCTCCGTGAACTCCATGAACTCCCATGCCGTGAAGTCCGTGAACTCCATGACCAGTTTCCGTTCACAGAACCCGTGAACGGTGAACGGGGGTACGGCACTGCTACGCACTAGTTCCTCCCTCCCCCTACCAGCCCCAGTCGCACATCATAGCGATGTAATTAGCCGACTCCCCCTTTTTTGAGAGCACTCCTTCCCTATGAGACCCCCTTCGGATTTCCCGGACCCCGTCCCCCCTCACCCGCTTTCTTTAGTCGAGATCCTCACTTGAGGTACCCCACGCCCATCGCCCAGGAATCACCCCCCTGTGCCCCCCGGGGCAGCAAAAGTTTCTGCAACAACATCCCGGCGGCGACAGGAAGTGTGGGAAGGCATACTATGGCATCCTTTCACATCATTGTATAAGGGACGCTGGACCCGAAAGGAAGTGTGGGAAGGACCACATTTATAGTAGATAGCGCAGTCACATTAGAAAGAAGTGCTTAATCTGACGGCCGTACCAGGGCTGAAGAGATGTCTCTGCAATGCTGTCTTCATCACACATTTTCTGTATAAAACAGCGTGCCGTACCGCCTGCTCAGTACATTCCCGGCATGGGTAATCAATGCTGACAGGCCTGCTTGATGTATGACGGGACGCTGGACTGCTCAGTCAATCCTTCGACTTCCAGAGTAATCACTGCTGGCAGGAGTCTTACACAACCTTTTCCTGATACATTTCAATTTCAATCTGTATATGGGACCCTGGATCCGTTTTCCAGCAGGTGCTGCTCCCCACCAATAGATGGAGCCTCTCCTCAGGTGCTAGTGGTGTCTGCTCTTACCAGCACCACTAACACTGGAAGGGGCGTTTCAAAAACCAAAAGAACAAAAAAAAAAAGGAGGGGGCCATCCCTTCCCCTCGGCTAGCTCAGTAGGTTTTCATGCGGGAGCGGCACCACGTAGGTGCTGGGTTCTATTCCCGTTCCCGTCACTTTCAGTGGCCTGAGAAGGGTTGGTGGCCAGGGCCAGTCAACACTGGTAACTCGCTGGGGCGGGAGTTGTGCCGCCCTGTAACCAGTTGCAATGCGGGAGCATCAGGCCAGGTTGAAGTGGCTGCTCAGGTCCTGCTGTGGCCGGTCGGGACACACCCAGTACACATTCCAATAAAAAGAGCTCTCAGGTTGAGTTCTCAGTCAGAATCATCATAGCTTACATTCATAATTACGATGCTTATCAGGGTTTGACACCCTCAATTTCAGGATATTTCCAAAGGCTTAAAATTTTTTTTTCAACATACCTGTCACAACATAAGCTCAATGATCATGACATATAATTTACCATGGTAGCTTCCATAAAAAATCTTGAATTACCTGGCATCCCCGTGTGTTTTCCGAAGTTGGAAGACCGCACAGGTCCACATGATGTCTGCCAGGCACGGCCCATTGGAGGCTCCGGCTGGACAACCACCCCGCAGGTCCACACCTGCGCCGCACAAAGTAGAACGATGGACAAAACGGCAGAAGTGGTCCAAATCCTGGAAAAAACACCACCCGATTGCTAGAAAAGTGGCTGTGTGATGGAGTCCCATTTTTTTTCCCGAAAAAAGCTTCCACGCTCTCGGCCTCGGATTTCCAGGGACGTGCGTTTTTCCAGCCTTTTCCCTGTGGGGTACACCCCTAAGTGGAGCCATGTCCAACTGTCCGTTTTTGTATTGTGGACAGTAGTGGAGCAAGGCCCTCACACTGATAGCAATCTAGCAAAAGTTTGTGAGTTCTGGTGTGACCTTTTGCTACATCTGCACGGGCGGCAAGTCTAACACGATATGGCCACCTCTAATAGGACATGCTCGGGGCAGTGTGAGTTTGTCTATATGGCCACCTCTAATAGGACATGCTCGGGGCAGTGTGAGTTTGTCGTCTCGCCACAGTGCAGGCAACGGTATACCTTTCTTGGCCTTTTGGCTAAGCCTAAGATCAAGTGTAGTTTCTGTTGTGACCAGTGGGGACCACCACTTCACTGCCTGACACTGTTAATTGCATGCAGTGAACTTTGACCGCGCCGTTAGGCAGAGCGGCGGTGCAGGCTTGGCTGTCTCAAATTATTCGGCCCATTCATTTCTAGACAGCGGCGGCGGCCACCCAACTGAAAACACAGGCCGGTTCATTTCTGTCCCTACCGGCCATTCCCGACAACACCCACAGCGAATCTGACGACACACACACACAAGGGGGGCAAGGGCAAGGTCCCACTTGCACGGATTAGGAGATTTCCGCCGTTGATCTCGGCTATCTACGGTCCCTATCTCTTAATTCGTGCAAGTGGGACCTAGCCCCAGGTCAGCAAAGAGAACAAAAAAGGGGTAACTTCAGTAGAGTCACAAAAACGAGTTATTTAATTAAAAAAAAAAAAAAAAAAAAAAAAAAACGAGTTATAATTGCTCTATGGGGCAGTATACAATGTCTATGGGCCTAGAAAGCTGGATGGTATGCATTGCCTGAAATGCAATTCCAAACTGTATCTTCGCCCATAATGCAATTATGGGTCCCAAAAACGAATTATAATTGCACTATGGGGCAATATACAGTAACTGGCCAGAAAGCTGGGTTGTATACATTGCCCGAGCTGCAATTCCAAACTGTACCTTCGCCCAGAATGCAATTATAACTCGTTTTTGTGACTCCTGCGTAGTTCCTCCCCCCCAAAAAAAAAGAAAGGTCATGACATCCAAAGAAACAGCAGCGAATCTTCCTTTAGAACAGGGAATATACACTGCCATGATTTTTGTCCTTCGTGCGTGTCGAGAGTAGTGGAGCGTGGCCCTTCATTTCTTTTTTGCTTTTTTTTTTTTATAATAGATGCAAAGCATCAGTGCGACTCAGACATTTCAAGTCCAGAAATCAAAATTTGCGTAATTTAAATCAAGCCAAGTCATTCTTCCTCTCACCACGCCTGCCCGCTGGTGGCCCTTCATTTCGTTTTTTTTTTTTTTTAATAATAGATGCAAAGCATCAAGTGCGACTCAGATATTTCAAGTCCAGAGATCAAAATTTGCGTAATTTAAATCGAGCCAAGTCATTCTTACTCTCACCAGGGGCAAGGTCCCACTTGCACGGATTACGAGAATCTCGCCGTTGATCTCTGTTATCTACGGTCAGTATCGCTTAATTCGTGCAAGTGGGACCTAGCCCCAGGCCTGCCCGCTGACGGCGCAGAGAACACCACATTTCTGTTTCCTGGGACCAGGTCCGACCAGCAAAAAGGATTGGATAAATATCCTGAATATGGACATGCTTTAAGCAGAGATGCAGAAAAGCAGTCCAATCTCTACAGTCTGCACCTTTCCAAAAACAAGTCCAGATTCAGGTGTTCAATCCAATCCTCTTTGCTAATGGGACCTAACGCCCGGTCATTATCACTGCATCTAGACTGAAAGTTGTGCCAAATACAGGTATAATGACCG